GTGTGTATACACACAGAGACACTTTTTTTTTTTTGTTTTTGGTAGCACTGGGGAAAGAACTCAGGGATTGGTGCATGTAGGCAAGCGCTTTACCAGTATATTCTTAGCCTGATCAACATTTTTTAAAACGATAGTTTGCTATGCAAGATTTGGCACATAACTTGGAAGAAATTCAAACAATATCCTGGATTAGACTAAACACTTGGCCTGGAAAGAAACAGTTTGAAGTTTTAGTTAGCCACATTCTCAGTTTATCAAAAGAAATTATTCTCTAGAAGATCCTCAACTTAAAAAAAAAAAAAAAAAAAAAAAAAAAAAAACTGTCATATAACTCAGGGGGCAAAGTTTTTTTTTTTTTTTTTGATGGAAACTATATATATGTATTTTAACATAAGGTTGCTAATTTGTCTAAGTAGACTTCTGAGAATTTGTGTTCCAATAAATGCAAAAAGAAGTTCTCAAGGTAAGAGTAGGGTAGTGTTATATTTAATCATATTCAAGCTATGAAGCAGTATAACATAGAAATGACAGTTGTAGTAAGGACTTTTTAAGTTTTAATAAAGACCTAGTGTTGTTTTTTTTTTTTTTTAAGAATGCTATTTCTGTGTAGTATTACTCATTTTCTTAAATTTAAGTGTTTCAAAGAACTTCAAATTTTCTACTTAACATTCTCTAAACTTAATAAATTTTTTTCTAACTCAACAAATCACAGAAAAAAAGATAACTTTTAAAATGCTTGGAATCTCGATTCATTTTCTATTTTATGACAAGAATAATAAACAAGTCCTGATTAGTTTCACTTTTCTCAATGACTTCCTACAATCTATTTAAGGGGCCCTGTCAAGTAAAGAGTTTTAAAACAACCATCTTACGCTGTGCTGCTTTCCAGTGGAAAAGACCATATCATTCCCTTGCTTCAAATCCATCTGAAGAGCTGCTTCTTCCAGGAAGCCAATCATGAGCCTCCTAGGTAGGCCTTGACAATGAAAAAGACAAGGGTTGGAGTGCTCCTGAATCTACCGAACTAACGCTAATTCAAATTACCTCCAAAAATGCAAACTGTAAAACTGGACATTCTTTAGATGAAGTAATAGATTTGGGGCACTAGAAAACTATTTTTTAAATATATTATTTGTACCTCCAGGACATGGTGGTAACTACTCAAGAGGCTGAGTTCTGGGATAACCTGAACTGAAGAATTTTGAATTTTGGAGCACCCTGAAGACTGCATATAAATAAACAGTTATACTTTATTATATTCTTTGTCTATCAGTTTGCCTATGGAAACCTAAACTATCACAGCTCAGAAATGGAGCAGATGATAAATAACCATGAATGCAGCAACACTAAGTGGGAAAAAAAAAAGTACATCAAATTCCTTTTTCTCATTCACAAGGTCTAGTCAAAATGGAATAAGAGATTATTAAAAAAGGAAAACAAATGTTGGGGCCATGGAAGACAGAATATTTCAGGAGTCATTCTGGTTAACTCTTTTAATTAAAAAAAAAAAAAAAGACTAACACAAAAATAGTATCAACCTAATCACTATTCTATGAGTTTTATATTTAACAACTCACTTAAACACTTGCAAAACTCCTAAAATATGGATACTATTATTTTCTTATCATTTAAAGACAAAAATGAGTTGGGGAATAACTTGTCTAGGGCAACACAGTTAATAAGCAGGACATCCATGTTTTCAATCCCGGTATATAACTCCTTAGGACTGCTCTAACTTGTAATTTTTTTATGTGGTTTTTCTGTTCATTTTTTAAAGCTAGACTTTGGTTTTCAAACTGTCCCTCAGAGTCCTAGGATTCCATGAGAATGTTTCTGGGGCCGTTAAATTAAGGAAAATAAAGATACGCAGATGGGCTTCTGGGAACTCCACCCAACCAAAGCAATTTCACTACTACCACTGCTTAAATATTGGGGATACAATTAAACTTTAAGTTAAAGAAAGGTTTTGATGCTATAAAGCAAAAAGTTTAAAAGTCACAATGTCTAGATAATAACATTCATAAAGGTCAGGATACAAGTCCAAAAATATTTCACATATTTGATGTTAAATAAATGTTAATTTAATAAACTGAAACTACATGGCAATACGTTATCCACTAAAAAAGTTAATATTCATACCATTATTACATCAGAGAAATACTGAGTACTGATATAATTAAATAATAACAATTATGTTACATGACATTTAGCTTAGTTTTCAGTCATGGGTGACTAAACAATTTCACTATCTCAAAGCGACTAATGGACTAAGCATCACTCATTCTCAAACACATACAAAATTGGTATGCTATTCACACATACCATTTTTTGTAGATATATCAGACTAGCTGATGTACTAAAGTGACAACTCACACTTTTTAGGTTCACTGAATTATTTTAAGTGGTTATACTAAAATACACTATCAGTAGAAATGTTATTTTATACTATTTTTAGAAGCTCATGAATGTATTCAATTTTAAAGAAATTACAAGAAAACTTGGAAAAAGCATAATTGAGTAACGGTATTTGAAAACAATTATTGATAAAATCTATTTTATTAGTTATCTCTTAGTCTTCTCATCTATGGACCTATGAACATGGATGTTTGTGAAGCAGAGGAATATCATTATTTTGTATTTCCTTTTACAATGAATTTTCAGCTTGAGAGCTGATGTCTAAATCAATTTAAAACCATAGCATTTTAAAGAAAACAAAACTAAAGTCCTAGCTTTCCTAATTCTCAATTTGTATTAAAAGTCAAAAGCAGCAAAACAAAAGTCACTTTTTTCTTCTATGACTTGTCTGCAGAATTTTATTTTAGAGAAAGTACAGTTTCCGAAAGATACAGACATGAAATAATATTCACTGCTTAAAATAATGAGTGCTTAAGTTTTCATAAAAAATCTTTATGATTACTATCATAAAAATTACAAACATCACTCTTGTGTCTATGTCTCAATTAAAATGGAAGATAGATAGGATGGTGAAAAATATTGACAGGGTAAGTGGTAGATCTGCAAATTTATTGTAATAAAATAGCTTTGAACAGAAGCAAAAATGAATAAAATGAAGTTTCTTACACCTTAAACACAGCATATAAGAAAGCTATTCAAATGCTAAATCTAGCTCACTTGCTTGGTTAGATGATTTAATTTTAATACCCATTTTGAAAAACTGCAGTTAATCATACGGAAATTAACTAAACAGACTATGTTAAAGGCACAGGAAACTAGAGAGCATTACTGCCTTATAAGGAATTTAATTTGAAGGCTGGCCAGAGCCTCCCATGAATGATTAGCTTGAACACTCTGGTTCTCTTCTGATAGACTCAAATTTCTATTGTCTATGTTGTAAAAATATTTTCTTAATCTTAATGAAAAAGCACTGAGATCGATTTTCTATACCAGATTATCAAAACAAAACATCAAGCTAATATCAAGCCTCAGGAGTCAAAGTAATTTTGCTATTGTGAGAGTAAAGAGTTATATAAAATTACATGACTTTGGGACCCTAAAAGAAGGTTTTCTGGTACTGGTGCAACCACATTTTGTATAAAGTACTTTCCAGAGATTATATGAAAGGATTTTTATGGCCAGGGAGGGTAGTCCAAACACAAACCAAATTATAATAAGCCTGTTCTGTCCCTTTCTCTGAAAGTTTAGTACTCAGTATTTTACTTTTGTTATCTAAAGAGCTATCAGGATAATAATAATTTTAGCGTGGTCTTCTCAGATGAGTTCCCCCTTCTTAACTTCCAGAAAAAACAAACAAAAAAACTTATTTTGTTTAGCTAGAACAGGAATACTAGAAAAATAATTTTAAATAAACTAATTCACATTAAGGAATAAACAGTATTACTCATTCAAAGAAGATTTAAAGAAGAGTTTATTAATCTATATTATATCCACTTAAACAGATATGCTATTTTGTGAGTGGCTCAATTCTATACAATGAAATCAGAAAATTACTAATTAGGTCTCCCCCTTCTCCCAAGTTTCTAAAAGGTTACTCCTGGCCTACAGTTACCCCAGTTAAATTTTAATTTTCCAAGAATGCTATAAAGACAATGGTTAATTTAGGAGACAACTGGATTAATGACAATGTACAAAATAATTCACTTAAAGATGTGTTATAATGTCATCAATTCTTGATCTACATGTTACCTACATATGTGAAGGTTGATTCCTATGCAGAGGAGATTCAATATTAAAATGTGAGTAGAATAAAATATTCAGACTAAAAACTAAAAATTCAGAATTCACCAAAAAGATTTACAAGAAAAGGTTAAAATTCAAATATCAAGAATAGTCAGTTTACCATTATCCTAGGCTTTTTTAAACATAGAATTTTATCTGTAAAAGGGGAATGGAATAACTATCCCTAATTTTACACACAGTGACAGTGATATTAAAATACATCTTTTATTACTTTACAATCAAAGTACAAATTTAACAAATTAAGTCAGAAGGGGGTATAGAATAGAAAGAAAAGGGAAGTGACATGAAAATGGGGTGGGGTGGGGATAAAGGCAGTAATTTCATACATCCCCAAATTAAAAGATATCGAAGGCAAAGTGATTTGTTAAAATATGTATAGAAAAGGTCCACAAAAATTTCCCATTTTTAAAATTTCCCATTAAGGTTAAGGGCAGGGACAGGAGGTGACAAGGGAAAAAAAAAGCATTAGACTTCTACTGAAGAGAGAGATCTCACTAGTTTACTTTTTTCCTTAGAGAGCCTAAGCTTTCTGTTAAGAATCACATTTTTGCATGAAGTACTATTTAATCTACTCTACAAAATGGTCATCAATCATATGCTACCTAATTGAGGAACAATAAAATAATATTCTACCACTAGTAGTATAATGAATGAGTCAATGTGTGTACATAAATTCCCCAAATACATCTAATACTCATGTTCTGATATGAAAAACCTATCTATTATTTTTATATCAATAAATTCCATGAGACATGAGTTTCACATTGTTTAACAAGACCTACCTGAATAGCTGAGTTCATGAAACACGTATTTCCCAAGTTACTTAGGCCACAAAGGCCCGGCTGTTCATTGTTTCTTCCAGGTTCTGAATAATCATAGTTCTTATAAGCAGTATATGATGGGAGACAATAATTTGAGTTTTTCACACTGGAAGAAAGAAAAAAATTTAAAATGCAGCCAATTACATTACAATATAGTTGTAATGAACAGAATACTTCATTTTATTTTTGAGATGGTTAGTCATTACATTTCTTTTAAGAAACACAATTCAGGTACTTTTAAAGACATGATTCTCAAATCAATTAACCCCTCTAAATTAATGTACTCTTTATCCAATCAACAAAATTACTGCAATCAAATACCACACCAACCAATATAAACCACTATTATATCTTTCTACCATTGATTAACAGGAGCAGCATCACAGCTTGCTCCATTCTTCATTGCTCCATCAAATTTAAAACATTCAGATTTTAAACACCACCCGCAGCAATAAATCATCTCATTTATGTTCCTTTTGCATCCAGTAGAGTGAGAACAGTAGAAATAGGAAGAGTTGTGCTTTAGTTACAGGTGAGAGCAGAGATTTCCAAGGCCACTGTGACATCACTGTTCTGATGCACTGAAGATTCTATTTATAAATTCTATGCTAGACCAGCAAAATCTAGTATTCAAATGCAGAAAAAAGTCTAGGTGATCAGGAATGCAAAAAAGTGATTCTAAGCAAGTACATTCCTATATTATTTACCTTGCGTTTTTCTTAGCTTGGTAGAATAATACAGGTTATTTAACTAGATAAATATTAACTCAGGATAATTTGTACTCTCAGTGTAATAAATGTTAATCTTAAAAAAGCTATTATCTAAAATTTAGAAAAATCAGGATAATTTTTGAAAGAATTAAGAAGTCCATAAATAAGTTAAATGGTTCCTTTTTTCTACACATAATAAAAAATAAATTTTGTGGAAAAGAATGAATTCTCCCTTAATTTTTAATAGCCTACCTATCTTATAAAATATTTATGATGGATAGTTTGGACATAATTCAGAAAAGCATACTTTCAATCATTCCTTTTTACTCATTAGAACAAACCTGAATGAGAATCAAGGTCATGTGCTAAAAGCAAATAATGATGTAAATAAAATACAGTTTATAAATAAATGTGATGAATCAGTAACTCCACTTATCTCCTCTGGCTATAATTTATTCCTGGTATTATTTTAAAACAATATAATTTTTTATAATTTAAAATAATTCATTTTATTATTTTATACACTATACTATCCCTAGATTATTATAATTTAAGTGAACTATACTATTGCATATTTAACAAAGGCTTTAGTAAATGTAAACATACCCCTCCAAACTGAACTAGTAAAACACAATATAAAACCAAATCAATCCCAAATCATACACATTAATATTATGCATTTTTTCAGAAAAAGCTCCCTTCTCTAAACAAAAAGACAGACCCAACTCTCAAAACAATCCACCTTACAAAAGAGCAGTGCCCAAAGAAATGCAACCTTGATCAATTCAAATTCAGATTAGTAGAAATTTGTTTTAAACTTAAAAAATCAAGTCTTTTGTATACTTAAAAAGTCTAAGAACTGCATTTTCTGTACATTGTACACATCATAGAGAAGAAAAAAATAATATGTATCTATATGGGTCTGATGGTAAAATTATAGTAAGATGTAAGTAGCCAGAGCACATAGGGAAGAATGCCCTAACACAGGCTCATACCTACCCGCCTTCCCATGTAAACATTAAAAACACATTTACATGCTCATTCCAAAAGTATATATTCAGATTTCTGACTCTTTAAAGGGTATCTATGCCTTTGTTTTAAATGACAGGGTAAGTATAAAACTTGCCCAAAGACTGCAATAGTTTAGATACTCAATGATAATAATGAAAATCAATCAATTTAAAATACTTAAATATTATTGATTCATCACTTGTATTTCATATGTTATGTGCACTTTAAATTATATATTAAAGTTCATCATGGAAAATACCAAAACTAGCAGTTGTCTACAATACTTCAAAAAAAATACATGGAACCTAGGTCCTAAAGAAAGCCTCAATGGAAGTCTTTTATGACCACATCTGCTAATTATTTCATTAAAAAAAAAAATCTAGTTATCATCTTTTAAGCTTATGCTACTTTGCAAAAATAAATTTACAGAAGTATATGGGAATTTTAATACAATGCTAGATTAATTCTATATTATAAATCTATCCTCTTTAATGAAGATAAATTAAAAATGCAACAGATTTTTATAAAATCAAAACTTATCTTTGTATAAAAATTTCAATCAGTACTGACTCTTGACATCATATATATTTTAATATTAATAACCATAATTATGCTCACTTTGTAGTTAATGAAACAATTGTCTCAGCTAAGGAACTTGTCAAGAGTCATATGGCTAACTCTTCTGTCTCCAAATCCACAGTTCCTGTTTGTGCATTAATGTTATACAGGGAATCATTTCCATTTCAAATGAGAGATTTAAATAAATTTAGAAAAACAGAAATGTGTTCTCATGTGGAATGCCATAGTCCAGAAAACAAATACATTAAAACATTTTTAAGAAAGTGTTAGTAATATATCAACTCAAATATAGCAGGAGAGAACTATGCAGGTGATAAACCTATAACCAGAGAAACAATTTGACAGACATTAAAAAATGCACATAAAGTATAATTGAGACAACTATGGACCTACAGATAAAATTACATACAGTAAACAAACTGTACTTCACCAATGGACTCTTCACAGTTTTAGTTTTAATAAAAACTTTTTTAACTTTAAATAATTCCAAGCATATGGTATTATCTTTATAATATTCTTATTTCTGGAAATGAAAGTTTTATATCTTAATAATGTATAAGTACAGGATAGTTCAAGTCTTGAACTTGTAAATATATTTCATATAAGCTTATGTACTATAACTACTGATTTTACTATATAATTTATACTTACAGAATATTTCCACATACATGAATTTTCAAGAATGCACTTAATTTAAAAAGGCCATTCATTATCTATTAACATACTTTCAGAGAAACTATGCTATTTCCATTTGAAGCTTTAAACTTCCACACGTAGAATGGAAATATAAGAAATAGACTTTCACATAAAATAACTTTTTGTTCAGAGTTTTAAAGGTAAAAACAACAAAAACTCCCTTCCATTCTATGAATGCTTAAGTTCTATGCCTAAGAAAGGTAATACATAAATAAAATTTACTTTTAAATTCAAAAATAACCACAGCATGTGGATTCTCAGTAGGTTTTCACTATTAAAATTTCCTAATACAAAAGATTGTTTTACTGTCTTGAATTTAGTTAGCTAAAAATAAAATCTAGTCATAGGAATAAAATCATTAAACCTGGTTTAAAATTCCTGTAGTCAGAGGTTTTGATATAAGATCGTACTACCATTTTTATTATGTTGGGGAGGAAATGGATAAAAACAGAAACACACAGATTCCAATCAAAACAGTCTATATTCAATACAGTATACAAACAATGTTAAAAATCTCTCCAAAGAATGACCATAAATACATGTTATACCTGTAAATAAATTCTTTTACAACAAATGTGGGAGTGATTTACAATTGGTAGGAACACAAGTTAAGACTTTATCTCATACAGGAAAGCTTTTGATGAATTAAAAGATATTACATAAAATACAAACAATTACAGGATAATACTGTTTCATCCTTTTTGCCTGTGGATATATAATTTTAAATAGAAAAAAAGTGTTATACTTTAACTTTGGATATTCATGGTGTTTTCAGTATTGTAGTGTAATGCTAATACACAAAATACATGTATCTTTATGAATTACTGATATAAAGATGTAAATACTATTTTCTAGAAAAGCTGTACTAATATTCCAACCATGAAAGAGAATCTTATAAGAATGAATAAGACTGTGTTTAAGTTTCTCAATGTGACTGAGGCAGGAGAAAGTAAACAAAGTTTTTTTTATGGTTTTAATTTACAAAACTCTAATTGGTGATAAATATGACATTTAAAATGTTTATCTTACGTTTAATTCCTTTATTTTATTACACATTTATATCATTTGTCCATTTCTCTTATTTTCTAGAGCTTGATATTTATTCTTTTAAAAAATTCACTTTTAGTAAGTATTTTTTTTCCATTTACTTCCCCCTTTTTATATGCCTGGTAATTATCTAATCTGACCCATTCTCCATTAGTCTAGAATGCTTTCTGATCACATTAACTTCTTTTATATAAGAAGGTATGCTTCTGGATTGTCTGAATCCATCAATCTGTATGTGTATTTTTGGTCAGTACTAAATTTTTATATCATTATAACATGTTGTTGTGATATGTAAAATTAATCCTTTGTCATTTTTTCTTTCTAAAATTATTTTAATTATTGTCATCTATTTATAATCCAGATACCAAGTCCCCCACTAAAGATATTAATCTTAAGGGAAAATTAAATTTATGAATTTAATTATTGGTGTTATTTCAAAGATTATTTCACAAGTTAGTCTTTTTGAATTTATTGATAAGAATTATCAGATGCCATTTATGACCTGGACAAATAGTCAAAATATTTATCTAAACTGTTAACCTAATATGTAAACCACAACGCACACACACAGATCCATGAAATAAAAGGAAAATATTCATCTCTGGATCAAAGTTCTTTTAGTAAATTGATTGGGCTAACTATAAATGAGGAGGTTTTCTTTTTACTTTTTCCAATAAAATAGATATGACAATTTTCAAGGTAATACACCCATAGTCAGGTATTATATTTAAAGCTCAGATGACTTTCAACCTTTTTTATTATAGCAATATAGCACATACTTTCACATAACTTCTCTAAATTTCAAATTTCCACATTGTACCAATTTGGGGGGGGAAGGAATTGTTTTTCTAAACCTCTTTTTAAGAAAATGTAATTGTCTTTTTCATAAACATAAAATTTGTGTGTGCTTTCCAGCTGAGAAGCACTGATAAACACTTTAAAAATATTATTTTAGGTGACTATACATCTAGTTCCAAAATGACACCTGAAGTTTATATCTGTCCTACAAAAAATGAGTTATAACAAATTTCTATATATTTCAATAATATTTAGAATATAAAATTTCAAAAATGTTTCATTTCTTTCTTTCAGTTAACTATTATAGTATTCATATTAAATCAAGAAATAGTTTATAAATGTGCTTTCTTTCTTAGGAAATTACTCATGGAAGAACTGACCAGTAATTTAAAAGAAAACCAGTTTAATGCATTAAGCTTTTATCCTAAATTTTAGATACAAGAGATTTTTTTTGCAACCAAAATAGGGCGATCAATTAAACAAAGAGTTTTTAAGATTCAGTGCTTACTTTCTGTTGTTGATGTTGTTATAATTATTTGATAGAGATGAAGGAGAGATCTTTGGTAAAGTTGAAAAATTGGATGCACCTGGGGACCTTTAAAAATATGAAAATGTTAAATTAGATAAAAAATGAAGAATTTTGAAAATAATTATGAAATAAAGAAAAGAACTAACAGATGACAATGTTTGTAGTAAATGAATGCTGGAAAACAGATTTATGAGCAAAATTACTATATATCCTTTGGTTTTTAACTTGTACTATATTTGTCCTTTTCATATATAATAAAAAGGGAGCTATTTTCAAATTAAATATACACCTTGTTATTATTCCTATAAATTTACTAACTGTACATACCCATTTCAGAGTTAAGGTAACAACTATTAACATTTTATAATCACTTTCCATAAATTAATGGAATGAAAATTTTCTACTTTTGTTTCTCAGTAGGTACCACTGGCATTCTAGTTATATATACACTGACAGAGAACAGAGAATATTATCAATTCTTAAAAATTTTAAGGCAAGGCGGACCTAAGAGCACAGAGAGTTTCAATCAAACCTAAGTAGTAAAATTTGCCCAAAATCACCTCTGGCTTTTAACTAATAAGTACACTTTAAAGGCATAATTTATAACCAACAAACCTACTATATAGAAATGATTAAATTACTTAAAGGTCTCTGAAAGATTCAATTTCCTTTGAAATTTTGTACACAATTTCAATTCACCAGGCAATATCTAGTCCAGGGGCTCTAAAACGTTAGGTTTCAAGCCAGTTAACTAATTCATTGCTAATTATAAATTAGTGAGGCCCAAACAGATAAGTTTCTAAAAATTATTTTGTTTCCTCTATTAAGTTACTAAGGAACTATGAAATGGTCAATGGGTAGGAAAGTTTAATCTACAAAATCTACTTTCAGATAATTTGGATTCAGAAAAAAAAATACATGTGCACGTGTATAAATGTACTACACATAATAAATGGTATGTAAGAAAAATTCAACTTTTGAAGTTTTATATATTATATAATCTATCAAAAATTTCTTTCATTTTCTTACATGCATAATACCCTGGATTCAATCACCAGCACCACCAAAACAAAACAAAACAAAAAAACCTTCTTTTGTGAAGGCTGTGTATTAAAGGATTACTTAAGTAAAACTTCTCTTTAGGCAACTTTCTGACAGAAATATCTTTAATAAAATGTCATTTTACTATATTAAGTTAAAACAAAAAATACAATCAACCAAGCTTTAATAGAAAATAATGTAGAAAACACACTTAAAAGTAATTTTAGAATACTATTATTTTCAATAACAGAAATATCTTGGCATTTTTGCTGCTATATTCAGAGTTTTTTTTAACTATGAAAAAACCCTACTATGATTAGAGTTATGGATTAAGGATGTCAATTTTTCAAAATATGATTCATTACAATTTTTCAGGAACACATATATAAATGGAAATGTTTGTTCCCTTCTATCAATCAGTAAGAAATATGGAAATAAAAAATATATTACTACTTCTAATAAAAATGGCTGAGGAGGGCTGGGATTGTGGCTCAACGGTAGAGCACTTGAGTAGCACATGTGAACACTGGGTTTGATTTTAAGCACCACATATAAATAAATGAATAAAATAAAGGTCCATCAATATATTAAAATTTTTTTTTTAAAATGGCTGAGGAGCATATAGATGTGTATTTATTTAATTTTTTTTCCTTTTTCTGTCCATCTGTGCTTTTTTTTTAAAACTCTTCGTTACTAACTTTACCTATGGATTATATTACAAGAAAAAGAATTAAGTTGTATTTTGATAACAGTTTCTGTGGAATTCATTCAAACTAGGAATACAAAAGAGACAGACAGTTCAGGGAAAATTGACACTAAGTAAAATACCTACAAAACAATATAAATGTGATAACAAATTTTAATACAACATTCTGTAGGTATAACATGATGTTCAGTGAAAGGAACAGGTGAGAACTAGAAATATTCCAGGTAGAAAGAAAAGCATTTGCAAATGTGAGATCATAGAAAATATGATGTGTTTAGGAAATTATCAGTAAATCCAGCAAAACAATATATAGTGATAGGAACAGAAGTTAGTAAAGTAGGTATGATAATAAAGGGCCACTATGTTCTGTTAAGGAAAATGGATTTGATCCAATTGTGCTGGGACTTGTTGAAAAACTTTAATAGGTGATCAACAAAATCATATTTACATTCTAGAAAAGATAACTCAGGAATAAAAATAGAATGAAGGCTGGAAGGTCAGTAGGAGACTATAAAGATAACAAAGGGGAAAATTTAAAAGGGCTGAAGTTAAGAAAATGGTGTGGGCAACTGCAACATATCTTCGATGTTTTGGAAGCATTTTCAAAGTATAGTACCTGGACCCTAGGGTTCTTTAAGACCCTTTCATGGTATTTGTGTTAAAATTATTTTCATTATAATACCAATATGTTATTTAAATATCACTTGACAGTTTTTACTGGGTGGGTATTTGTGCTGATAATGCAAAAACAATGGTGGATAAAACTGATGGCACATTAACATCAATCAAAGCAGTAACAGTGATGCTATATTCTTCACTTTTCCACAGTAGAAAACAAAATTTCATTGATGAAAATCATGTTGAAAAATAAAAATTATTGATTTTTATTAAATCTAGACTCTTAATTTTGCTACTTTTTAATATTATATGACAAATTGGGAAGTTTGCAGGAAGCAGCACATCTGCTACATATGGAAGTACCATGGCTTTCATGAGGAAAAATTTGTGTAATTGTTTGAACTGCAAGTGAAACCAGTCACTGTTTTTATAGCACCACTCTTCACTCCTACACAGGAGAACAACTGGAGGTTGAGGCAGGGACTGCATGTTTCAGGTCAGCCTGGGAAACTTAACGAGGGAGGGAGGGAGGGAGGGAGGGAGGAAAGAAAAAGGGGCAGAGGTGGGAATGTGCAAGGCCCTATGTTCAATCCTCAGTATTGTAAGAACACAACCAAAATCCAAACAACACCACAACACAACTTCCGGTGGCTACTAAGACTTGGTTATCCAGTACACATTTTCTCAAAAATGAATTAAGGGAACCTACTATTTCAAGGAAAATAACTAAAAGTATCGCCAATAATAAAAAATCTGAGTTTTCAATCAAAAAACAGAATTTTTGAAAAAAGTTCTGCTACCATGTGGTTCTTGGATCCCAGACATTTCTCATAAAATTTTTAAAAATGTGAATTACAGCTAGGTGTGGAGGCATATACTTGTATTTCCAGCAGCTTAGGAGGTTGAGGCAGGAGGATCCCTGGATTCAATCCATGGTATCCCCCCCCCCCCCCCAAGAAAGTGATTTATAAAAAATTATATAATGGAGTGTATCAACATAAGAAAGATTTGCCTAATTCAGTGAATCAATATTCTTCAAATAACCAAAATGCATAAAATTACAAATGATTGGTCTTAATGGAAAAGTACAAAAGATTCATTGTACAGTGTGGTTTCTGATCCACACTGTAATTAACCTTTAATACTTAAACCACCTCTGGTCAAGTTTTTATAAGGTATCAAATGTCAGAAAATACTATTCCCATTTTCAACTACGTAGCTATATGAAGATAAATTTCCTTCATGTACTTCATACAAATAGTGTGCCACAATAAATTAAATGCAGAAGCACATGAGAATTTAGTTGTTTTCTATTCATGTAGATAGTAAAGAAATTTGCAAAAATGTAAAATAATGCTATTTTTCTTAGTTTTTTTTTTTTAAAGAAAAGTTATCCTTCGTAAGCTACATCAAAAGATAATGGCTCAGCGCTGTTATTTATAAATACCTTAAAATTTAATTTTAATTCCTATTATGATAAACACTTGATTAAAAACCCACCTGAACAGAAGTTTTTTTTTTTTAATTCATTAATAATTTTTAAGCATGTAAAGGGGAACTGAGACAAAACACTTAAAAATTTCAGATTTAGGAGATAGAAACTGCAAGACTTGCTAACTTGAAAGGAGTGAGGTGGAAAGAGGAACTCAAGATGGTTCTGAGATAGTAGTTAAACAAGGAATGCAGGAAATAAATACTGTTGAGGTTGAGGGGATAGGAAGTAGAGTAAATAGATTTTGTTCAATCTGTTGTGATAAGTTCTTTTTTTAAATTTATATATGACAGAGGAATGCATTACAATTCTTATTACACATATAGAGCATGATTTTTCATATCTCTGGTTGTATACACAGTATATTCACACCAAATTGTGTCTTCATACCTGTACTTTGGCTAATAATGATCCTCACATTCCACCATCATTAATAACCCCATGCCACCCTCCCTTCCCCTCCAACCCCTCTGCTCTATCTACAGTTCATCTATTCCTCCCATGCTCCCTCTCCCTATCCCACTATGAATCAGCCTCCTTATATCAAAGAAAATATTTGGCATTTAGTTTTTTGGAATTGGCTAACTTCACTTAGCATTATCTTCTCTAACTCCATCCATTTACTTGCAAATGCCATGATTTTATTCTCTTCTATTGCTGAGTAATATTCCATTGCGTATATATGCCACATTTTTTTTAATCCATTCATCTATTGAAGGGCATCTAGGTTGGTTCCACAGTTTAGCTATTGTGAATTGTGCTGTGTTCTTGTAGTATGCTTTTTTAAGTCCTTTGGGTATAGACTGAGGAGAGGGATAGCTGGGTCAAATGGTGGTTCCATTCCCAATTTTCTAAGAAATCTCCAAGTTCTATGTGACATTTAGAGAAAATTGAGAATTCAAAAGAGTTACAGGCAAGAATACAGGATGGCATATTTGTGTTAGTTTTGAGTTGTGGGAGAGGATTAACATAGAACTTATAACCTTTGAGTACCTACTATGGTATGAAAAGATCTTCAGACAAATTTTGTATATTATGAATGCATTTAAGGTCTGAGCACAGCTGCTCTTTATAGTCAGTGAACTTGTTTAATGGACCATGACAGGGAGAGACTTTCACATGTAATGCAAGAGGCTATACACCATCTGCAAAATCAAATGTGGTGACACTGAAGAGGAAGAGAGGATTGGTCAGAGAGGTGAGAATAGT